CTTTAAATTCCACAGTCGTATGCTTTAATATCAAAGCTACTAAGAGAATACGTCTTCTGTAGGGATTAGTTAATAGGGTGGCAGGTAACGTTTCCAAGCTATGAACAATTTCTTTATCCTTCTAGTCGGAAATGAGTCAACGACAACCTGATGGCCATTTTTATTATCTACACTCCCATGCTCTACCAACTGAGCTATCGAAAGTGTAGCGTTTATGCGTGGGAGGTTAACAGAATTAGCAAGAATCGTTTACAAATATGTAAAGAACGTTATTATTTAAGGCGGGATTAAAAAGGAAAAAGGATCACTTTAAGATGTACAACCCCACGTATTACCACCTGAGCTATCCAAGGAACTGAGCTTTAGTAGAAATTGTTTCATTATGTGACAGTAAATGTTTTTAAAAAAATAAACAAAGGCATTATCCTTCGAGTCGGAATTGAACCAACGACCACGGGATGACCATTTGTAATATCTACAGTCCCATGCTCTACCAACTGAGCTATCGAAGGAGCGATATTTCCACCTAAAAAATTACTACAATTAAAAAGAAATACTTTCAAATAAGTAAAAACCTTGAATAGGACCAATGACCAAGGGATCACTTTTAATAAATACAGTCCCACGCTCTACCATAAGAGCTATCGAAAGAACTCCTCCTTAGTAGGAACTGTTTCTTTTGGTGACAGTAAATTTTTTAAAAATATAAACAAAGTCATCCTACTTCGAGTCAGATTAGAACCAACGACCAAAAGATGGCCATTTGCGCTATCAACAGTCCCATGCTCTACCAAATGAGCTATTCAAGGAAAAATAAATCGGCTTTAAAAGTTACTAGATTTAACAAGAAATACTTATAACAATGTGAAAAATATTATCCTTAGAGATAGATACTTACCAACGACCAAAGGATCACTTCAAATTCCACAGTCGTATGCTTTAATATCAAAGCTACTAAGAGAATACGTCTTCTGTAGGGATTAGTTAATAGGGTGGCAGGTAACGTTTCCAAGCTATGAACAATTTCTTTATCCTTCTAGTCGGAAATAAGTCAACGACAACCTGATGGCCATTTTTATTATCTACACTCCCATTCTCTACCAACTGAGCTATTGAAAGTGCAGCGTTTATGCGTGGGAGGTAACAGAATTAGCAAGAATCGTTTACAAATATGTAAAAAACGTTATCCTTTAAGGCAGGATTAAAAAAAGGAAAAAGGATCACTTTAAGATGTACAACCCCACGTATTACCACCTGAGCTATCCAAGGAACTGCGCTTTAGTAGAAATTGTTTCATTAGGTGACAGTAAACGTTTTTAAAAAAATAAACAAAGGCATTATCCTTCGAGTCAGAATTGAACCAACGACCACGGGATGACCATTTGTAATATCTACAGTCCCATGCTCTACCAACTGAGCTATCGAAGGAGCGATATTTCTACCTAAAAATTACTACAATTAAAAAGAAATACTTTCAAATAAGTAAAAACCTTGAATAGGACCAATGACCAAGGGATCACTTTTAATAAATACAGTCCCACGCTCTACCATAAGAGCTATCGAAGGAACTCCTCCTTAGTAGGAACTGTTTCTTTTGGTGACAGTAAATTTTTTAAAAATATAAACAAAGTCATCCTACTTCGAGTCAGATTAGAACCAACGACCAAAAGATGGCCATTTGCGCTATCAACAGTCCCATGCTCTACCAAATGAGCTATTCAAGGAAAAATAAATCGGCTTTAAAAGTTACTAGATTTAACAAGAAATACTTATAACAATGTGAAATATATTATCCTTAGAGATAGATACTTACCAACGACCAAAGGATCACTTCAAATTCCACAGTCGTATGCTTTAATATCTAAGCTATTTAGAGAATACGTCTTCTGTAGGTATTAGTTCATAGGGTGGCAGGTAACGTTTCCAAGCTATGAACAATTTCTGTATCCTTCGAGTCGGAAATGAGTCAACGACAACCTGATGGCCATTTTTATTATCTACACTCCCATTCTCTACCAACTGAGCTATTGAAAGTGCAGCGTTTATGCGTGGGAGGTAACAGAATTAGCAAGAATCGTTTACAAATATGTAAAAAACGTTATCCTTTAAGGCGGGATTAAAAAAAGGAAAAAGGATCACTTTAAGATGTACAACCCCACGTATTACCACCTGAGCTATCCAAGGAACTGAGCTTTAGTAGAAATTGTTTCATTATGTGACAGTAAATGTTTTTAAAAAAATAAACAAAGGCATTATCCTTCGAGTCGGAATTGAACCAACGACCACGGGATGACCATTTGTAATATCTACAGTCCCATGCTCTACCAACTGAGCTATCGAAGGAGCGATATTTCTACTAAAAAATTACTACAATTAAAAAGAAATACTTTCAAATAAGTAAAAACCTTGAATAGGACCAATGACCAAGGGATCACTTTTAATAAATACAGTCCCACGCTCTACCATAAGAGCTATCGAAGGAACTCCGCTTTAGTAGGAATTGTTTCTTTTGGTGACAGTAAATTTTTTAAAATTTAAACAAATTCATCCTCCTTCTAGTCAGATTTGAACCAACGACCAAAAGATGGCCATTCACGCTATCAACAGTCTCATGCTCTACCAAATGAGCTATTCAAGGAAAAATAAATCTGCTTTAAAAGTTACTAGATTTAACAAGAAATACTTATAACAATGTGAAATATATTATCCTTAGAGATAGATACTTACCAACGACCAAAGGATCACTTCAAATTCCACAGTCGTATGCTTTAATATCTAAGCTATTTTGAGAATACGTCTTCTGTAGGTATTAGTTCATAGGTTGGCAGATAACGTTTCCAAGCTATGAACAATTTCTTTATCCTTCGAGTCGGAAATGAGTCAACGACAACCTGATGGCCATTTTTATTATCTACACTCCCATGCTCTACCAACTGAGCTATCGAAAGTGTAGCGTTTATGCGTGGGAGGTTAACAGAATTAACAAGAATCGTTTACAAATATGTGAAAAACGTTATCGTTTAGAGCGGGATTGAAAAAAGGAAAAAGGATCACTTTAAGATATACAACCCCACGTATTACCACTGAGCTATCCAAGGAACTGCGCTTTAGTAGAAATTGTTTCATTAGGTGACAGTAAACGTTTTTAAAAAAATAAACAAAGGCATTATCTTTCGAGTCGGAATTGAACCAACGACGACGGGATGACCATTTGTAATTTCTACAGTCCCATGCTCTACCAACTGAGCTAACGAAGGAGCGATATTTCTACCTAAAAAATTACTACAATTAAAAAGAAATACTTTCAATTAATTAAAAACCTAGAATAGGAGCAATGACCAAGGGATCACTTTTAATAAATACAGTCCCACGCTCTGCCATAAGAGCTATCGAAGGAACTCCGCTTTAGTAGGAATTGTTTCATTTGGTGACAGTAAATTTTAAAAAATAAAAAAATTCATCCTCCTTCTATTCAGATTTGAACCAACGACCAAAAGATGGCCATTCACGCTATCAACAGTCCCATGCTCTACCAAATGAGCTATCCAAGGAAAAATAAATCTGCTTTAAAAGTTACTAGATTTAACAAGAAATACTTATAACAATGTGAAATATATTATCCTTAGAGATGGATACTTACCAACGACCAAAGGATCACTTCAAATTCCACAGTCGTATGCTTTAATATCTAAGCTATTTAGAGAATACGTCTTCTGTAGGTATTAGTTCATAGGGTGGCAGGTAACGTTTCCAAGCTATGAACAATTTCTTTATCCTTCGAGTCGGAAATGAGTCAACGACAACCTGATGGCCATTTTTATTATCAACACTCCCATGCTCTACCAACTGAGCTATCGAAAGTGTAGCGTTTATGCGTGGGAGGTTAAGAGAATTAGCAAGAATCGTTTACAAATAGGTAAAGAACGTTATTCTTTAGAGCGGGATTGAAAAAAGGAAAAAGGATCACTTTAAAGTATACAACCCCACTTAGTACCACCTGAGCTATCCAAGGAACTGCGCTTTAGTAGAAATTGTTTCATTTGGTGACAGTAAATGTTTTTAAAAAAATAAACAAAGGCATTATCCTTCGAGTCGGAATTGAACCAACGACCACGGGATGACCATTTGTAATATCTACAGTCCCATGCTCTACCAACTGAGCTATCGAAGGAGCGATATTTCTACCTAAAAAATTACTACAATTAAAAAGAAATACTTTCAAATAAGTAAAAACCTTGAATAGGACCAATGACCAAGGGATCACTTTTAATAAATACAGTCCCACGCTCTACCATAAGAGCTATCGAAGGAACTCCGCTTTAGTAGGAATTTTTTCTTTTGGTGACAGTAAATTTTTTAAAAATTTAAACAAATTCATCCTCCTTCTAGTCATGTTTGAACCAACGACCAAAAGATGGCCATTTGCGCTATCAACAGTCCCATGCTCTACCAAATGAGCTATTCAAGGAAAAATAAATCTGCATTAAAAGTTACTAGATTTAACAAGAAATACTTATAACAATGTGAAATATATTATCCTTAGAGATAGATACTTACCAACGACCAAAGGATCACTTCAAATTCCACAGTCGTATGCTTTAATATCTAAGCTATTTTGAGAATACGTCTTCTGTAGGTATTAGTTAATAGGTTGGCAGGTAACGTTTCCAAGCTATGAACAATTTCTTTATCCTTCTAGTCGGAAATGAGTCAACGACAACCTGATGGCCATTTTTATTATCTACACTCCCATTCTCTACCAACTGAGCTATTGAAAGTGCAGCGTTTATGCGTGGGAGGTTAACAGAATTAGCAAGAATCGTTTACAAATATGTAAAGAACGTTATTATTTAAGGCGGGATTAAAAAAAGGAAAAAGGATCACTTTAAGATGTACAACCCCACGTATTACCACCTGAGCTATCCAAGGAACTGAGCTTTAGTAGAAATTGTTTCATTAGGTGACAGTAAATGTTTTTAAAAAAATAAACAAAGGCATTATCCTTCGAGTCGGAATTGAACCAACGACCACGGGATGACCATTTGTAATATCTACAGTCCCATGCTCTACCAACTGAGCTATCGAAGGAGCGATGTTTCTACTTAAAAAATTACTACAATTAAAAAAAATACTTTCAAATATGTAAAAACCTAATCTTTTGAATTAGAATAGGACCAATGACCAAGGGATCACTTTAAATTATTACTGTTCCATGCTCTACCATTAGAGCTATCAAAGGCACAAGCCTCCTTTAGAAATTATTTCATTAGCTCACAATAAATGTTTTTCAAAATATAAACAAATTCATCCTGCTTCAAGTCAGATTTGAACCATCGACCACAAGATGGCCATTGACGCTATCAACAGTCTATGCTCTACCAAATGAGCTATCGAAAGAAAAATACATCTGCGTTAAAAGTTACTAGAATTAGCATGATACACTTACAAAATTTTAAAGAATTTTATCCTTCGAGGTGGAATCATACTAACGAACAAAAGATGGTTTGAAAATCAACATTTCCAGGCTTTACCATCCAAGCTATTTAGAGAAAACGTCTTCTCTAGGTATTTGTTCATGAGGTGGCAGTTAACGTTTCGAAAATATGAACAATTTCTTCCTCCTTCCAGTCAGAGTTGAAACAACGAGTACGGGATGATCGTTTGTAATATCTACATTCCCATGCTCTACCATAAGAGCTATTGAAGGAACTCCGCTTTAGTAGGAATTTTTTCATTTGATGACAGTAAATTTTTTAAAAATATAAACAAATTCATCCTCCTTAGAGTCAGATTTGAACCAACGATCAAAAGATGGCCATTTACGCTATCAACAGTCCCATGCTCTACCAAATGAGCTATCCAAGGAAAAATAAATGTGCTTTAAAAGTTACTAGATTGAACAAGAAATACTTATAGCAATGTGAAATATATTATCCTTAGAAATGGATACTTACCAACGACCAAAGGATCACTTCAAATTCCACAGTCATATGCTTTACTATCTAAGGTATTAAGAGAACACGTCTTCTGTAGGTGTTAGTTCATGAAGTGGTAGGTAATGTTTTCAATCTATGAACAATTTCTTTATCCTTCGAGTCGGAAATGAACCAACGACAACCTGATGGCCATTTTTATTATCTACACTCCCATGCTCTACCAACTGAGCTATCGAAAGTGTAGCGTTTATGCATGGGAGGTTAACAGATTTAACAAGAATCGTTTACAAATATGTAAAAAACGTTATCATTTAGAGCCGGCTTGAAGAAAGGACAAAGGATTACTTTAAAATATATAGCCCCACGTATTACCACCTGAGCTATCCAAGGAACGCTCAGGTAGAGATTTTTTCATTAAATGACAGTAAATGTTTTAAAAAATATAAACAAATGCATCATCATTCGAGTCGGAATTGAACCAACGACAACGGGATGACCATTTTTATTATTTACACTCCCATGCTCTACCAACTGAGCCATCGAAAGTTTAGGGTTTTTATGTGGGAGGTTACCAGAATTAACAAGAATCGTTTACAAATATGTAAAAAACGTTATCCTTTAGAGCGAGATTGAAAATAGGAAAAAGGATCACTTTAAAATATACAGCCCCACGTATTACCACCTGAGCTATCCAAGGAACTGCGCTTTAGTAGAAATTATTACAAAGAAGCAGTCAATAGTTGCTAGGGTATTATAGGTATACTAGTTTACTGCATGCATTGGAAGCATATGGGTTATGGCAAAATATTGGTTGATAAATTTTCCTCAAGTGTTGATGTCTGTAAATTTCAACATTGAAGCTTTAATTACCCGTTTATGGAAAAACCAATCCAAATGCTTGCTGAAGAAATTTTTCAGCAAAATAACAATTCCTTTCTCTTGTTGATTAAGGTAACTAACTGTTTAGTCAGTAAATTTATATAATATTATTTGATTATCAGTAGCAAAAAAAAACAAATTAACTTTGGAACTGTGCCACAATAAATTTCTCTTTAACATGAAATTCATTTGGATACTTTTGATAGTGGGATTTCAAAGACAACAAAAGCAAATTTCTTTGTCAATGGAAAATTGTACAAAGCAATGTTGTAAAAGGAAATATCATCAATAAAGTAATCCCGTTGAGAGCAAGGTAATACTATATTTAGAAATATCATCAATAAGGCAATATTCTATAAGGAAATATCATCGATAATGAAATATTATATAAGAAAATATCATCAATCAAATATGGATAATATTGAAATAAAATATCATCAATAAATTATATAAGGAAATATTATCAATAAGGAAATATTATATTACGTAATATCATCAAAAAGGAAATATCATATTTCAAAATATTATCAATAAAGAATTAGGATTGCGAGATGTCCAAATTGTTACAAATAACATTTATAAGCTATTCTAAGCATAGCAATTAAACATTAACTACTCTTATGTCACTATTTCGACAGTGTTTCCAGGGTAACTAGAAAAAACTTACAAGCAGGGGAATGCATTTCATGGCATTGGTCGAATAGACTTAAGGAGCAAGTAACGTCAAAACTGCTGATAAAATACAAAATTGAAACACCATTATTTCAGCATTAACAAATTTTTTCATCATTATTTTTCGCATCAACATTATGTTAAGATTGTTATGCAACCAGTAGCATAAATATAGTGGAAGAGGATAGAACCCTTTCTAGACATTCTTGGTGTAGTGAGCTAGTGTTAACACACGAAATGGTTTGATTAGAGTTTTGAATACTGACCTTTTTTTTAATTGATTCATATTTTAAGTTTTTGTACTTTCTAACATATTTTCAATAAAATATAAAATTTCCAAAATTCTGGGGCTGTGAGTAGTGGCCAAAGAGTGAACCAAACATTCACAGATTCTTTATTCTTGAACTAACCCAACCTAACGAGAGCGGCACTACTGCATGCAACCTGGTCACTACAGACAGGGTTGGTAAATCCCCACTTATTACATTTCATTTTATCTTTCTATGATAATAAAAGAAAAGTTTTTATTTACTACAAAAAGTTTTTTTGTTATTAAATTCTTCAAAATAAAATTTTTGAATATTTGGAAGCAATCACAAAATCAAACAATTTTAACAACTTTTAAACAAGTGAATATAACCCTTAACGCAAGTCTAGTCCATACGGCAATGGAATACCATAAATCTTTTACTATCTTTCGTCCACTTTTACAGAGGATGTCTTTGAACTACCTAAACAACCATAACATACCTTTACTGCATCTTTGAGGGCCGTAGTCTCTTCTCCGTAATTTGCTTGTTTCGCTTGTAATTTTTTTAATTGTTAATAAATAGTTACCAAGTAGCACCACGAAATTCATGGCTATGACATCTCACATGTGGTAATGACTCGTGCGTGGAACGATGAAAGATCTTCGTATCAGTCACGCATGATATGATTTGTGCAATATGCAATTTCTGAGCACAACAATCAACATCCACAACCCACTATCACACAACATGATATTAAAAAATAATTAATAAAAGAACAGTGATAGGGCGTTTATTAGAAAGGGGGCGTTTAACAGAGAATGGTGTCCCATATAAACTCACGGTGAGTGGCATACGTTCATTTTTTGCGTGTTTAATTAAATAATATTTTATTTACTGTGGAGATCTTGGAATACAGTGTGTTTTCCGGTGAAAAGAGTGAATGAAACATGACAAAGATGATTATATGGCAATAAGACTTCACATTGACTGAACGGAGGCTTATTGTATACGCATAAGCTTTAAAATGTAGTTCATTTCGCTACCATCCCAATCCTTCAGACAGCATGTGCAGCTTTGTCTCATTAGCGTAAGAAATATTTTCACATCGATTTCGTTTAGTGATTAGGATTATGACGGTCTTATTTTAACGTTTCATGTATTTAGTCATTCGAGCTCTAAATGAACTCCCTTGGTTTGTAAAAGTTTATAATAATGTAAAACAGTAATATGGTCACCATATCGGCCATCGGTAGGCTTTCATAAAATAGAAACTTCATTTTGATCAAATGAGGCTTTTCATAGTTCAAGCACAATCTTTTCCAACATATGCACTTAATCTCAAAGACAGAATAAACATATGATATTGCAATTTCTTTCTCATTGTGTGCAAATTTGACCACGTGTTAATTTCATCGATATTTGATAAGCTTTTCTGCGCACGTATACCATATGCATGATAAATAGTGTCTTAGCTACACTTCTATTTTGTCAAATTAAGTTCACTTTGTATTGTTTTTATATTTGTCGTTTCATATATGCGTGTTCTATTGACGTTCGAGAAGGGCAAATAGTTTGTTTTTGACGTAAGAGCTTGCACGTCAGGAAGAGCTTAATACGTATGTAAAACTCCATCAAAACAATCTTGTGATCAAAATTTTGTTGTTTGTGCGTGAGAAGATACAAAAACCTTGTGATGGCCCGGGAGGAATGTTTCGTCTCGCCGACTTTACCAGTTCATATGTTGTGTCATTCAACACAATCACTTAATAGCATCTTAACTTGCACTTCAATGTAAATTTAGAACTTTGCTATGATATGAAAATCTATAAATTTTTTTGACAATTTGTCTTTCCAATTCCGTTACTAATATAATTGGTTCATGGCTGAATAAACTTCACCCAAGCTCCTTATAGCAATGTTACATGTTTTGTATTTACCAATAACCTATAGTTCATGCGCTCATATCCTGTTTATCTGGGCGTGTATAAGCAAATCCTAAACAGATGCTTCTGAAGATTTGCATTAATATTGTTCCAGTCAGTAAGCGCTTCAAAAAACTCGCCATAATAATGGGGCTCCTTAAAAAATACAAAATGTCGGCAAAAGAGGCTAAAGAGAAATCCATTTATTTATTGAAATAAGGTGAAGATTAATGGTCAGGACTAAAGTTGTAAATAAAGCTGCAATGACGTAATTTATGAGCACATGTGGTTGCCACCTTGACAACTCGCCAAATAATTAAATTAGATATATATTTACCCGATTCTCATCAAAAATGACATGTTCACATGAAAAGGGTAAGCGGTAAAAGCTCATGTGGGTGAATTGCTTCGAAAAAGTTCGGATGTTTAACATAGCACAAATTTCCGTTAAATCCAATATTTGTAGGAGAGTTTTTTCTACTAATATGGAGGAATATTAGACTTAAGTCTATCACGCTTCTTGCGTCACACTTGTTTTACATGACCGAAAAAAGCAGTTTCTGGAAACAAAAACACAACAAGGCATTTTGATCACATTTTTGCATTTGGAGAGGCCAGTCCTTTTCTTTAGACGCGTTATAGCTACATACATTTCTTGGCTGAAAATATTACGTACAAAACGAAACCAAATGAATTGACATACAATCGCGTTGTTTGTCAATTTATAATTTAAAAAAAAGTAACTAATACAATTTGCTGAAGATAGGCAAAACATTCTAATGAAACAAATATGGCATTCTCATGGGGAATAGGAAATTTAATTATCTCAGTCTTCCTCGAATCGGCTACGCTTACGTCATATTATTGCACATGCCAGATGATTGAAAAAGCTTGTATTGATAACTACGCATTTGCGTCATAATTCTCTTTTTGAATATGATTATTTTTTTCCTTTATTACACGAAAATCCCGACTCAAAACGACCTTTCTTCAGTCTAAAACATCCGAAGCATTCTTTAGCCGATGAACAGTAATAGACAAACAGCCTATAATTGTTTATTCTTTAACCGATTGTTTCGGTTAACTCTATTCATAAGAAATTTATTTAGCAATTCGATGTAATTAATGTGAGCAGATTATTTAGAAAATATCGAACTTGTTGATGTGAATGCATGCTAGAGTCATTGAGCTGTTATGAATTCTATTTTATCTTGAATTATGTCTTTCCTCTAAGCTGATTGGCTGGATGACCCTTCAGTGCTTTCTACATCGTACCAGTCGGCTACGACCGCAGCATTTGTGTTTCATTTTCATTAGCAGTAGGATATTGTCTATTGAAAAATGACCTTGAAGAAATTCAGAATTGAACTGAGACATTTTTTGAGAAAAGTCTTTATTTCCATGGTAATTGTGTGAAAAGAAAGCTTTTTTTAACTCAACATATTCAGCACGTATAATTTTTTATCGATGAGAATTTGACTGATTTTGTACACATATAGTAACTTGGATATAAAAAATTAGAGGAACAATATTAAAAAAGTTTTCTGGTAAAACGCTCTGAAAAATATACATTTCTTCAATGTCTATCAACCAAGGTTATAATTCACAAGCGAATTTTATACATTTTCGGGAAACGTCCTCTTTGTCCGCAGTAATTATATTATATTATGTTATGCAAATATCCTACCAAGCTAAAACACAATAACAATTGTCCACGCAACAATAACGAGAAATGAAATTTATTTGACGCAATCGCTTACGTTAGCTATGTCAGTCATCTTTTTGTTAATTACTTCGTCTCTCACACTTCTCGGATGTTTGCGTCTGGCCAATTTTCCTAGGTAAATGAAAGTTTTAAATGCTTGAAAACAACTTAACAAGTTTGATATGATTTCAATTTGATGTCGTGTCACACAAGACCAGTGTGCTGAACACTTGTCTCAGTAACTGTCTTTTCTTTTAATGTTCTCGCCTAAACTGTAAACACGATATTGCAGCAGCAACATAGCACATATCTACATTACATTAAGGCGGAAGTCAATTATACATCACAATCAACTTAGGATACTTGGGAAAAGAACGGTGGAAAAGAACATTTACGCATATACATGGTGTTCATTTTAAAGTCCGAGGAGTTGCGTAAAAACTAAAGTCATTAGTATTGTCTTTGTATAAATACGTATTTCCATAGCGTTACTTCACGGTGTTCAATGGGCGCTAAACATGGCACCACAACAACTGAAATTGTCAGCAGTGGCGTAGCAGTCTCGATAATCGAGAGGGGGGCAAGCTTTGCCGTATTAAAATTTCTTTGAAATCAAAAAACGTTTTTAATGGGATTATAACATAGCCCACCCAAAAGGAAAATTATCCAGCTGGCTACCCCACTGATTGCAAATATTCTTATTCAAGGACTACTTTCCGGAGAGAAATCGCTCCAAATGTTTTGTAAAGAATTTAAGAAGTTTAAAGAAAATGTCTGAACCTTACAAAAAGCCATAAGAACCGTTATTGCAATTCAATCTCTCGACGGAAGAGTCAATTATGATAGTGATATGTCAAGCTCAGCAGGACATTCGTCGACTGCATAGAAAAACGTTTACAATATCATAGCAGTTGTTGAGTTTTAAGTGTTGATTGTATGGCTTTTAATTACTGTGCAGTCGCCACATAATTTAAAGCAAGCGTAAACAGGCTGTTGTTTACAGTTGATAAATTTAATTTGCGCTTTTATTTTGAATCACTTTAATGATAATGTCTGTCATCTAGGAGTTTTGAAGCTTTCTGCGTTTGTTCTTTCACGAAAAGCTCTTTGTATGATGCGATTAGTCAATGCAACCAATCAGAAGCAAGTTTGAAAATCAGTAATGAATTATTTGAGCATTGCGAGAGTTAATGTTAAACAATCATTTGAATATAACATGTTTTTAAGTGATCAGGAGCACAGCTATAATAACAAGTGGGCCTTTCTCGCTATCAAAACAAGATTGACAGGCAGTCGTGGACCGTGAGCAAAGCACTGCTGTAGCGGGTGACAGGGTTAAAAAGGGTTAAGATATGTTTTGACCTGTTTATTTATCTGAAATGAAAAACCTCTGCACGTGTCTCGACTCTCAAAGCAACAATACCATTAATTATCCTTTGTGTCTTCGGCCAGCGTTTATTTATTGTATTTACTTCGCAGTCTTTGAACTTTGAAGGTGTTCATTTAAATTTGAATGGCGCTTTGAACACCTGATATATGCATACAACCGCGATTACAGAACGTCAATATTTTTAGCAGAGGAACATTTCGCATCGCTCCCAGGCAGAGTCGTTTAAATTGCCTTTCTGGTGCATCAATGAATGAACATAAAGGATTTTACTGATAGGTATTGTGGCATATAAATCATTGACGTTTGTAAAAAAAACCCGCAAATAACATTCACTTATCACATATAAAAACTGGCGACATTAGTTGTAATGTCTTACTTCTAATGTCATAGCTGCCTTGTTGTCATGCCTACGGGTATGTCGTCGTCTCGAGCAATTCAAGTGTAACTGCATTGTTCTGGTCACGTCCTGAGAAGACGAACTACGTCTTTGCAGCTGTGAACGCGATCTACTTCACAACGAACAGTTGTTTATGTCTATATAAGCAAAATTATGAGAAACAGCAGATTTGATCAATATTATTTAAACAGAAAGCGATATATTGCACACACACCACATTTATAGTCTTGTATATTTCCTTATAAATCAACTACATGGAATATTATAAAGAAACGTAGTGGAGGAACTTTCATTTACATTTTCACAATAATCCATGATTCTTTAAAACATTTTTGAAAATGATGCATATCTTCGATGCATCATAAACGTGCGTAATAGCTTTTGTCTATGACGCACGACGGGTGCTTAAGTCTATAAATGCTGCCACACGGATAATGACAAGAAATGCGTCAATGCATACTTGCCAAGACATTGACGTCAAGCGTTCATCCGGCGGGAGCCCTTGAGACAGTTAAAAGTTCAGTTGACATCACTTACGAAGCTTTTGGCTTAGCAGAGACGAATCCAATGGGAAAGAAATTTTGTCTCTATGTATTATTATTATGATTCGATAGCTCAGCTGGATTTGATCGTATTTTGAATTGACTAACAAGAATATTTCGTACAGTTTGGTGAAGAAAAACTTTATTCTGTAATATAATCTAGTGAAAAACTTACTTGTTTCGACTGAACATTTTGGCAATGGATATGGTAATTTATCCAACGTTTGCGCTGCTTTTTGGTGTTTTAGCGATTGTTACTAATGGCTTGTCGTGTTTTGTACTCTATCGTAACATGGCGTTGACATTTGGCAGCCCAATAATATACTATTTCATCACGCTGAATTCAGTGTACTTCTTCAAAGGAATCGTGGCCGTTTGCTGGAGTTTATCGGCGTTGACTCGTTCCCATGATGAAGAACACTTGTACAAAATTGGCCGCAACGCATTCTGGACGACAGCGTTGTCACTATTCCTCTTGCTGCTTGGAATGGCAGCGGAAAGATATATCAATACATGCTGTCTGAAACGACTACAATGGCTGCAAGCGAGAAAAAAGGTTTATACGTATTTCTGTCTAGCTATTGTCGTTTTCTCGCTTATTTGTGGTCTTCTCGTAGCGTTAGAGAACACCGGTTACTATGTGGAGTTTCTCATATGCGTTATAGCCGAGATTGTTTACATTTCAACATTGTTGATCACAAGCCGTGTCTGGCTGAAACAGAGAGCACAGCGGGAAGATACGACAAACCAGGAAGCCATAACACATATCACTGGAAATTTGAAAACGCAGAAGGACTGTCATCGACGGTTGAACTCGATCCTCTATTGCTACGTCATCGCCACACTCATTACAGTTTTACCATTCTTTGTTGCGTTTCAAACAAAGTTAGTTCGTCATTTGTTTAATAAAGACTCTGAAGGCGACAATCACCTGTCTAAGCTATTGGAAGTTTATCCGATGCTTACTTGCCTAAGTTACGGCTTATCACCCATGGTTTACGTCATCGTTTTACCGAAATTTAGGAAAAATGTGAAGTTGCTACTGACATGTCGATTCTACAGCAGTGAAGCGGGAGCTGACGTACCGCTACATGATTCCGAAGAGACAACGTCTTCTGGAGATTTTGTCTAATTTGAAAAAGATATTGAACAGGGAATGAAACGGGACAAAGGGCAAGTACTGGGATCCACAAGAACAACTGCTGTTAGGTACTTCATAACTAAAGCTGGAACTATTGATGAGGATAACTTATGAAATATCTTTAATCTAGAGACCTCAAATATACTCTACAACATAACTGTCTTACACTCAGGTTTATCGCATCACATGCAAGTAATCGCATTTTGGTTTGCCCTAATCTGACCAACAAGTGTTTAATTTACATGACATCCGTTTATGTGGAAAACGGTATTTTTGAAAACAGGATTTTGAACATGATTAATTTTGCATGTGATATTCTACTTTTTCATGTTTTCTATAGCCTTTCAATGAGTTTAGTTTGGCATTTCAAAAGTCCACCGTCGTGCAAAAACTAACACCAACATTGTGTTTATAGCGTTTGATACAATAACACGAATCATATTTTCTTTTGAGTTAGGACATGAAAAACATTTTCATTACAATGAACCAATGCTGTGCCCCCAACAAATCACACGTGGTTTTATATATACCCTATATCATGGAATCATGCCGGCTCGCAATTCTGTAAAATTGAGCAATATTAACATAAAGTAGTAAAATGTATTTATAGTTGGTATAAATTAAGGAAGGTGGCAAACATGAGTTTGGAAGAATTCTGGACATAAACGGAAGCACATGATGGACCCACGTATTTCTCCAAAATAGTGTTGTAAAGTAGGAATTGAAATTATTTATTTTGTAAATATCAGAGACACTTGAAGTGTGTGACTTTGCTATTGTGCGATAAATTATGTCAATAATAAAATAGAATAAATGATCACATGATAATATTGATTGTTTCGTGCAGCAATGCAACAGTGGCATGTAGTATGATTAGTCTCGAAAGATCCTTCGATGATATTAACGAGATAATGACATTAAAGGGCGCAAATGCTACGGTCGAGTTCATGTAATCGTTTTTTCCTCACTTTTTGAGAAAACCTTATCGTCGTTTTCATTTGAGACAGCCATAGTAGTACCGTTCTGTATACAAATTAGCAACAACTAAGAAGATAGTAAAGCGCCATATTGTTTTTATTGTTGTGAAATTAAAAATTGTCGTCGAATAGCATTCGTGAACTCGATGACTTGTCTGAGTTGGCACTTCATATAATGTTAAAAGGCTTTTGCAAGCTCCCAAGCCTAAATAAGAGCTGCAATGTTTTCAGACCATGGAGAGCTTGAAAAATTGAATTTTAAGCATGGTGTAAAAGAATAAACCTCGTTCATTGTGAGAGCAACCCTCGTATGGTCAAACATGATTGATTGTCACGTCGACGTCATAGTCTTGTATAGCTACAATTATATCAATAGAATATTACAGTATCACAAAATGAAACTTTGGCTACATCATGGTATGCAAATGATTTTATTCGTGTCTGTTTCGCTTCAGTCGACAAGTGTAGTTTCAAAAGTCTTGCTAATCATGCTAGAGCCCCAGGAAGTTTATTAACCAAGAAGTTTTCATAACTTTACGGCCATATGAAGGTATGAAAGAAACTTTTTCGCTTAAATTTATGTTATCTTTCTAAATCTTTCGAGTTCCACCAGCAGTTTTTCACTGCATAGTTTAATGAATTATTGACCACTGTATTAATATAGCTACGTTTGAATTAAAGCTGTTACAGTAGCGTATGCTTGTATATTATATCTCGCTGGAATGTAAAGTCTTCAATCAGCAGAAGAATAACTTTTCTATAATAAAAATCATTGCATTATTTCTTATCACTATTATTTTTTTCGTCATATTCACTTTCGATGTAAAGGGAAATTTTCTTTTTATATAACTTACGAAGTCAATCTTAAGATGTAAATAAGCGTGTTGTATTGGCCCCTTTTAATGTGAGACTTCTCTAGGCGTTTTAATTCCCGATTGACAAAGAATATTCCAAATCAACCATATGTGTAAGAGCAGTGCAAAACTTTTTATTATACAATTGTTTATGTCAATTATAAAAAATGACATACTAGCACAGCCATGTGTATTCATGCGGTGCATGCGTTTGGCGTTTACTGACAGCAGACAGAAAATATTTCTTACTAAGGAGATCACCCTATGATTCTTAAACACACATTACACTTGTCTTGAATTTTCTCTAATAAAATTTGCAGCTGTGAATACTGAATATCATTTGGCAGCAAAACATGATGAACGTCATGAGTCATTTATTGCCAATTGTTTCCAGTCTTTGACGTGCAGAGGAAATTGAAAATCCATAATCCACGTTGACTTATAACTGCAAAAGAAAATCGTAATGACCCTTCAAACGTTAACTGCTTATGCCACTTTTCGCTAAACAAGTAAACGGCAGCAGGCAGGGTTTGATATTTTCTTTTTTTGAAGACTGAAGCTGATCAAGCAAAATCTTTTGGCCACAAAGGAAAAAAATTTACTCCCAATGAATATGTAGTAGAAACAGTCATTTAGTTCGAAAATACTTCAGTGAATCGCTGATTGTGTTGGATTTCCCTACATAGTGCATAAACCCTATTAAAAATCTTTTGTAATTGAGCTCGCCGTGTCTCTCAGTAGTTTATCCCCCTCACAAAGAAACCTTTACTCTGTACATGCAATAAATTTTGTTCGTTTTCATTTGTCCACCCCCCGGAAAGTTTGCTGACGTACATTAGTGATGATTGCTGCTAAGTCCTTATTGATCACCTTAAATTCAAAATGTCTTCTCTAAAATAAACGCTGTCTGACGTATTTGTATAATTTTTGAAACAAGGCTTAACCTTTCTGTCTGACACATTTCAAAAGTTAGGTCATCGGGCTAATGCATAGTGGAACAGCTTTCCTCACAGGGTATTAAATGTAATTCAGAAAGATCTCGACAAAGAAATTCACCACATTGCAAATCGCTGCTCAAACGAGTTTGAGCTCTGATACAAGCTAAAAGAAGTAGAACATAATCGCCATAACTTCACCGAGAAATCTTCTCTTAGTTACCTAAATCTGATCTCTATAAGTCTTGAGTTTTTGGTGTTAAAAATTAGAGATTAATAGGATTGAGACATGTGATAGTGTACAAATATATTATTTAAAATGAGTGGATGACCTTGGCAATGAGACGTACTGTTAGGTTAGCATGTGTTTTTCTAATACGTATAATGCTGTTTGTGTTATCTTTTATCTCACCACAATCTTGTTTTATTCACTTAAGCCAAAAATCATGTTTTATCCAACTAAGCAATAAATATCAACAACGTCAAGAAATGTTGTGAATCTCGTTAACCAAATGGGTAACAAAACATCACTTTCATATTTCACACCATGGCAAAATGAATATAATGACACGTCATATAATACACAAAAAAGCGTTTAATGTTTTTTCAACTGAACTTTACCAAGTGAGATATTTGTAATTTATTTGTGTGGATTTTGTCTTTGTACTTTGTAGACGAAAAGGGAACCAGGTGTCATTGTTTGACTCATTACGATTAATGCTAGGAGTCATCAAGAGTAAACAATCAACCCGGCTATTAAGCTCATAAAGAAAATATGCAGTTCGGTAGTTTGTTTAATCCCCAGTGCCATCATACATGCATCATGCATGAGAGTTTTAAAAGGTTATCAAAACCACTTCTGATTCTTCAAGATTATTGCTGGGATTAATTTTGATTTCTATGAGATAAGTACAAATATTAATAGTAGTTCAAAACACATTTTTTTATTTTGGTAAGGATGTTCAGGACTCCAAAGTATTTTTAACTGAAAAAGGTGTGAGGACTGTTTGGACCATTGTTAAAAATTTGACACCCAAGTCTGTCGTTTTCTGTTTACTCTCTTTAGATATTAAATGTTGGGACCAAAGTGTCAATAGCGTGGCGCAAATTTATTTCCTAAAATACCTTTATACTGAACAATAAATCTTTTAAATGAATCAAATTTCCAAGCAAGACAAAAACATCCTTACCTAGCAATTGTAAGATTGTATACCAGTTTGACATTTTGGCAGATCTGCCACCCCGTACTCTGATACTTTTGTCGCCGTCAGTTCTCAGCTTGCCCTTTTGCTGGTTTACAATGCGCCCATCGTTGCTGATCGATGAATCATTATTATAAACCATAGGAACAAATACGAGAATTTGTACATGCGACCTTCTTTTATGCAAAGACGAAATAATTTAATTGAGTCGCATAGGAATCGATATATGTCCTTATATTCTCAATTGACTTGTGTTTCCGAAAGATAAAAAAAAGAATTAAACTTGCGAAGAAATTAGCGCTTACTTTTGATCGAAGTAATTCATGTTCACTTCACTTAATATAAGCTTCACTGGACCAGAAGTCGGCCATTTTAAAATAAACAACCAAATAATTTGATTCGTTGTTTGATATTATTTTACTTGTTTATTCTTTGCTTCTTGTTTATTCTTGCTTCACTGGACCGGAAGTCAGCCATCTTGAAGTAAAAAACCGAATAATTATATTCGTTGTTTGACATTGTTTTACTTGTTTATTCTTTATTGTAACCTATTCCCACAAACTGTTTTTTCTATAAATCGAATAGTGCTGCTACGAATTGTGGAGAAAGAAATTGCACTCTAGAAGCCATATACCTTAAGTTAAATGAAGTAAGAGAGATCTTACGTTTACAGTGAATAAGTCAGCCGTAGTCATTTGTCGTTGTATTCATTCCGAATGTTTGATCAGGGCGAAAGAGTAGCTTTTAATTTTTCTTGCTTGTGGGCCTCTGTCAAAACTTGTATTTAATTCTTCTATTTAATTTCAAACAAAAGGAGCATCAAAGTGGGAGTGGGGGGACTTTAGAAATTATGAGAACTAATCATTGGTTTCTTAAGGGGGAGAGGAGGGAGCACTCTTAAAGAAAAGTGGAAGGAGCTTAGCCCTCTCTTCTCCCCCCCGCCCCTCCGACGCCCCAGACCCAATTAACAATAAGGCCTGAATTTATTAAGGTCTAAGACTCATTAAAAGAAGCATATACATCACTTTAATTTGCGTAAATTATACAACATACCATTAACTAACTTTCATGCACGGGTTTTTGTTCACGTATAATCCTATACAATTAACACCAATTATATAATTTTATTTGCCATGTAACAGAAAATTTTAAAAGATACTAAAAGATACTCAATTCGAAACAAGGAACAGATCACAGTCAAATCAACCTATATAACCAAAGTTCGTGTTCATTGGGATGATCATTCCTTGTTCGCATTTTTGATGGAGGTTATTGTAATTCTTTTTTCCACAGCAAAACATTCCATCACGTATATGGTTGAGAGTTTTAGCACAGCAAACAAAATGTTGATTATCGTAGGCAACTGGTCCACAGCAAGAATTGCGAACAGATCCAGACACCTTTGGTAAAATGTTTCCATCACAACAGAGTTGATGATCCTCACTGTAGAGTTTGTCTACACAGCATAAGGAACCGACGTCATACGGCTTTCCTCCACATAAAGATCGACGATGTCTTACTCTTGCCGCATCATTTCCTTCAGCTATAATACACACTAAAACAAAAAACAGTTTTGTATAGTTTGTAGCTCTAAAATCAAACCAAGAGAATAAGTACTGAAATGTATGTGTTTAATACTTTACCAGTTCATGTACGAAAACATACAAAAATGGTCTGGACTCTGGATAGTGTTTTCTTACAAAAAAAAACACGCTGTGACTTATGCGGTTGCAGTGCTGTCTTTGTGTTTTGACCGTTGTGGTATTAACGAGTGGTTTTGACCATTGTGTTTTGACATTTGGCTCTAACCGTTATGTTTCGGCCCTTATGTTTTCACAGTTGGTTTCAACCGTTATGTTTTGACAGAAGTCTTAACCCATGTGTTACTTTAACCCTGACGTCATTCTGTCGATCATGCAATACGTGAGGTATAATGCATTCATGTGTAAATGGAGAATGTAGCTTAGTGGCTCGGATATAAAGGCAACCGCGCTTTTCATTTTCAGGATATATTTATATAGTGCATCAGTTTGCATTATGTAAATATATGGTCACCGCTCGGAGTCGAGCTTGGATTCAGCCTTGGACTTAAAGTAAATAGGGACCCATTGCGTGCATGCGGGTAGCCTTTCAAGTGTGTGGTCATTGCACAAAATCAACCAGATTCATCATAGTAATATTGCACCATTTCAACATTACCAGTATAAAACATGAAAAAATATTAGGAGATTTTAAAATGTACTTTGTGCTCATTGTACTCGCTGTCAGTGATTGTCCAACCATTTTTGCACTTGCCGAACGCCCTTGCTAAAATTTCTAGTAACACGACTCTTCTCGAAATATTTAATGTAAGCCCTTTAGATTTCTCACAGGCTTTAACAACAAATCATCATCGTTTTTACAACAAACCATTTTTAGATTATAAGTACTTGATTCTCTCAACTTGATTGTCTTTCAAAAGCGTTTCTGACGTATATGAGAATAGCAAAAAGTCGTTTTGTTTAATCGACCGATGAATTAACAAACAAATACGACTTGAATTGACTTACATAAAATACAGCAGAGTGGTTTGTTGTTTCTTTTGCAATGAAACTTTTAAATGAGAAGCTGGAACTGGTATAATATTTTGACATTTTTAGTTTAGACAACATTTACAAATTTTCAGAGAAGCTATGTAAAGAGAACGGAATTGTTCGCCCAACCGATCAATCGAGCACATGCTATTTCCGTATATTAACATGATAGCAGACATTGGCAATATCATACAAGTGTATGTTTGGGCTGTATTGTTTTGTAGCTCATATTTTTTAAATTCTTGATAAAACATATTCGTAAGATTGAGCTTCAACGATTATGTGTCGAAGGAAGGCAATTCCTCATCATGCAAGTGTTTCATTGTCTTTCCTTATTGCGCAGAGCAATTTTCTATGCAGTAAACTTTCGATCGCAATTAATAATGCTCTAATATGGAAGTTGATTCAGTTCAAGTCCGAGTTAGAGTCCGAAATCAACTCCAAGCTTAAGCCGAACTCGAGTCCTTCGCTCGGTATTTACGTAGTCTCAGATTTTCCCATTAACGGATTTGCATTGCGAGAAGTGGTATTGTGTCTTAACTCGAGAAATAACGCTGAACAGAGAAATCAAAAGTGTGTGTTACATTGACAGCTGTTTGTCCTTACAACCGATAACGTTCATGGTTGCGAGTGAAACAGGTCATTTTTCACGGCGCTTAAAGCATGGCAGTTAAAATTGCTTATAGCAGAAACTATGAAGCAACACGAGAAATATTCGCCAGGAATGTTAGCTGCCGCGAGCAGTAACTATGAGAGTAACGCAGTAACTCTCACAGAGTATGAACGGGGTTCTAATCACGTTTGATTACAGATCTTCTCCATAAAAGGCACTTATGACCAAATGCGGAACACAAAGCTTCCCTTCTGACATTGCATGCATGGATGTTTTTCTCATTTCATCGAACAACTTTGGCAAAAACAGCTCATTGCTAACAACGGAGCAATATTCTTTGTTGAAGCTAGGATAATCACCGTTTGTCGATAATTTTTACAATTTTCTCATTCGAAACATGAGATTATACTTACAGTGCTTTAAACTTGACCGTTTACTCATGACATTGTGTGCAGTCACTGATATTCTATCAACTCGACTGCAGGGTCACGTGACTATGTGAAACGTTCTATTGCCTTTATTGTTATATTTAGAGATGGTAGAAAGTTCATGGTAAAAACATACGACACGACACTGTTTTATCAAGAAAATTAACCTAAACACGTTCTTCAGAAACGAATTTCTTTTGTCATTATGTATTAGGAATCTGTTTTATCTTGTTTTAGCATTTACTAAGAACTACAACTATCTTACCGAATATTGCAATTATGCCAAGTGCGTTCAGCAACAACATCTTCATATTGCTCTCTGTGGAATAGTGCGTCTATTTATTTGAGCTTGATCGTTCTTCTCTGGTACCTTACTTCTTACTGATCAGGACCATCACATTCGTCAGTTTATATTGCAGTTGAATTCCTGCCAAACTCCCAATGCGTCTGGGATAGGTCCAAAAGGTCAAGTGAGGACGCTTGGATTGGATTACTTCGATGATCAATATCACAATGATGATGTGTGACATGAATATTACATTCATTAATATGTGAAAATACCATAGCATCGCTTGGTGTTATTTTACTGCCCTGCCCTCATGTGTCAGCAAAACCATTGACATATCTTCAAATGAGTTGCAGGATATTTTCTTGCTCTTTTTACAATGAATGCTACAAATGAGATTTCTTGTATTCTGCTGATGCTTTTGGAATAAATTTCTACATATGTTGTGTTTGGTATACGAATGTCATTGAGCAATGAACGGTTGAAGCTGATTTTTTCCTCAAACTAATCGTATTTTCTCTTAAACTTTTGGAAGCATTCCAAGTATCAAATGCCACGTTAGATAAACGAAATTTAAAATAGCCATAACATTGCTATCACACGAGGACATGACGCAAATGACGGTTGATTATGACGTTTTATAGTACACAAGTATCTTAATGATTTGCTTTCTTTAGCCATCGGTGCATTAATGAAAACATTGACTGTTTAACTTGTTTGAATTTTACGAGAAAGCTGTTTATGATTGAAACCTATCACATTGTCATTGCGTTACAGCAACATCTCTGTGAATTAAACAGTTAAATCCCAGATGCAATGCAGGCAAAGCAATAATTTGCAATTGCGACATCCTCAGCAACAGACAATCAGTATCGCAATACCTAGAAGCCGAGAAGATAATGCTTACCGTGATTTTCTATCCTGTTTCATGTTTTACCAGCGTTTTCATGCTTGGATATCTTCGACATGCACGATTTGTTTCAAAATGTCATTAGAATAAATAAGTTATATTATTAGAACTTATCGCATTGTTGTCATCTTTCAGCAAAATCACAAACATATATCTTCGAAAATTGTAGCAGGAAATTTTACTGCTCATTTATCATGTGTATGCATGTTTAAATCTCCAATACTTTTTTCTGTAATGAACAATGTTGTTGAAGGCTGAATTGACGTTGACTTCTGTCTTAACCAACTAGCCAAGCGTACTCACTTGAGTGATTTAATATTGAAACAATACCAATATAACAAGATTTAGTTTATATTTTATAATCATTTTCATATTTTGCTTTCTTCTAGCACGAGTCCATATCGCATGATTTGCTTGAATTGCGCTTGTAATTTTTGAATGTTATGTCGCAATAATGTCGTTGAACGTTGAATTTGAGTTGAACTTTGTTCGTAAGATAGTTCAACCAAGCGTGCTCAATAACTCAACCGTGGTCACTTGAACTTTAGGAAGTATCACAAGTGCAGTGTGAGGTGAGACTGTAAGCTATGCGAAAATCATAACCGCACATCCTTCCTCAATCAACTGAGAGATACACTAGCTATCACAAGAAGAGATGATGCTTGGTTATCATGTCTTTTAAAAACATTTCTGACGTTAAAACCGCACATCCTACCCAATCCTCGGTCGTCAGTGTATCTCATGAGGAGAAAACGCAAACAGTCAACTGTTGATTATCATGGCTCATATTTCAAAAGTATTTCCTTTTTACTTTCATTTTGTAAGATTTTTCTGAACTGTACGAGTATACTTATTTTGTGCATGTTATATTATGAACAGTGTCGTTGAACGTTGAATTAGTGTTCATCTTTGTTTGTAAAATAATGCAACCAAGCGAACTCAACCGTGCTCACTTAAACTTTCGGAAGTATCCCAAATGTACTGGTGAAGCTGCTGTGAGCAATGGCCATACGAAAATTAAAACCGCGCATCATTCCCAATTCTCAGTATCAGGCTATTAGCACACTACCAATGTATCATACGAGAAGATGACGCAAACAGTTAACTGTTCATTGTTATGCATCGCCCATATTTTAAAATGAACAGTGTCGTTGAACGTTGAATTAGTGTTCATCTTTGTTTGTAAAATAATGCAACCAAGCGAACTCAACCGTGCTCACTTAAACTTTCGGAAGTATCCCAAATGTACTGGTGAAGCTGCTGTGAGCAATGGCCATACGAAAATTAAAACCGCGCATCATTCCCAATACTCAGTATCAGGCTATTAGCACACTACCAATGTATCATACGAGAAGATGACGCAAACAGTTAACTGTTCATTATTATGCATCGCCCATATTTTAAAAGTATTTTCCTTTTTCACTTTCTTCGACCATCACTTAATTTTATAAGATTTGCTTGAATCGCACGAGTATAATTATTTTGTGCATGTTGTATTATGAATAATGTCGTTGAACGTTGAATCAGAGTTGATCTTTTCTGGTAAAATAATGCCACCAAGCGTGCTTAATCATTCAACCGTGCTCACTTAAACTTTTGTCATCCCAAGTATCCCAAATGCACTGCGAGGCTGTGAGTAATAGCCACGCAAAAATGAAAACTGCGCATCATTATCAATCCTCAGCATTAGGCAATCAGCACAGTATCAGAGTGTACAGTGTATCATAAGAGAAAATGAGGCGAGCAATTAACAATCGATTATCATGCATAGTTAATATTTCAAAAGTATTGAGCTCTTTCACTTTCTTCGTCTGTCAAAATTATCATTTGCATCTGCAAGATTTGTTTGAAGTGCACGAGTATAATTATTTCGCGCAAGTTGAAAGACTGAAAGATTTGCTGTCTACCTGTTTACAAATGATTTAAGGCGAAAACAAAAAGCTCGAAATATACTAGTAATGCAACAATGGAATATTTCGACAGATTATACTTAGTGTTGCAGTTAAAATTTAGAAAATTAAATCTACAAGAGGATACTTGACAAATATATATTAGTGATATCGATATAATTGGATTTCTATGATGCTATTTCGTCTTTGAGTTTTCAACCCATCGTTTATAAGCGAGAGTACAAGCGAGCAATACGCTTGAGTTTGGCTGTTTGTGATATCGTGAAATGCCTCACTTCTGGTAGCCTCTTCATAAATTAATATAAGCAGTCTGTAAGAACTTGTTGATTAGGACAGGCTTAGATTTTCCATATACTATCATAAACGATGCGAAAAAGCTTTGAGAAAATGCGTTGAATTCAATTCCCTTCGGAATTTGGATAAATATCAACAGGCCTAAATATCATTTCCTACCACGCCATTTCATTTAGATATCTATTCGTGCGGGAAATTTGCCAGACGAAAAGCGAATATTACAAGTGAATGTGACAGCCAAAATTAAATTTTTAATATAACATTACCAAAGATGTGGTATAAGTGTTTTTCTGCACAACCGACGAAACGTCTCCTTGGATGATTCGAAACTAGCATGCACCATATATCGCTTAGCCTAATTGATATTTTAATATGTCAGTGCGTACGTCTTCGACTCGACTCGAGGCACCGAAGATCGAGTCACCCGAGGTGTCGTTTGTTATGTCATTTATAAATACCTTGTTATTAATACCTAGACAACTTGCTTGTTGAAGCCATTAATGTAACTAATATAAGAATCTCATTAGTAAAGACTATAGACGTCATTAATAAAAAAAATACTCCGCAATTCGTTGCAATGGCTCTCAATACAAATTTTATGTTTGGACTGTCGCTTATATATGTAAAAATTTTCATTGCTTTGTGAGTCAGTTATCTTCAGCTAATTCAATTGAGGAAGTATTCAGTAAGTTTAGAGTAACTTTTGTCTAATGTGAGCAAAACATCTGTTTGAAGTCAGCTTACATTTGAATAATAAATTTTTGTTTGGGCTTGTGCAGCGGTAATAAGGGTGATTGGGGAAGGGGTTGTGCTGTTATTTATTTTGAGGAGAACGATGAACGCCTTGTAAGGAGAACTAGAGTGAATATATACGAGAATGCTCATTTGCTGCGTATTCATAGTGCAGATTAATAATACATTTGAAAGAGTAAGGTCCACAGTCAAATTAATTAAAGTATCAGATTTTGAGTACACATTGCTGAAGACAGTGTTGTGTTTGTTAATCAGCAAAAACCTTCAATGTAAATGTTTCTGTATTGTTGGAAATACTGACATGTACCTTAAAATTTGTTTGAATGATTTGTAGTTCTACATATAATACATATAAATAATATTATTATTAGGGTTTGCAAAGCAAAGTGTTTATTGTTGTCCGTTGTCGAGTCTTAGTATAAGTGCTTGCGTGCGACAACAGAAAGCGCCCGGAAATAAATGCGATCACGCGCGACACCATATGTCTTCGCTGACAGATAAAAACATTGTAATATTGACAAATATAACAAATATACGTATGAACCAACTGCTTGGCACCAAAAAGCGTTAACAAAATGCAGCATTATTACAAAAGGTTCTGCCAATGAAGTTTCCCCCGCTGATTAGCATTGTCTATTTTAAAGTGCTAAGAATCATAACAAAGCATTGAAACACCTCTTTAATCGAGAAATATGTTTAAAAATTTCACCTTACATTTATAATACAGCACTTCCTGATTTTGAATATTAATATAAAAGTGTAGTTTGCTCAATTCATGCGTTTACGTTTCAAGACATTCGGTAAAGAAATGATTCTGGTTAAATGCTACTGGGAAGGCAGCAGACTGCCCCTCCCCCATTACTTACATGCCTGTGCCTGTTAAAAACAACATCAATGAGCAAGCAAATGGTCTTCTATTAATATTAGTGACTAGTGACAAGTGAGTAAAACCTTTTCTAGAATAACCTAATCAAGTCACACATGATTTTGTTCAGACATCATTCAGCGCGGCCAGATCAAGAGTTGGTAATTTTTTTTTACCAGATCCGCTATGGTGCGCTTAAGCAGCTCCACCAGCTTTACATAAGTCCACCATTTAAAACAGGGGGGAGCAATCAGCGCAGATCAACGCATTTTTGATAATAAATTACTCATATATGCTCACACAGGCAACGTCGTATTTAATACACAAGCAAGCAAAGTAACTGAAATAAAGGTTCATCATTGGGCGGTCCAGATGCATGTTTGTCATATATTTTAACTTTTGCTGTAAACTAATGATAATGAAATCAGGCTACTCGCTGATAAAAGTTTCAATTAAATTTTGAAAATGATTTTAAAGCTAATATAAGGGAGTTTCTTTCAAACTGATAGATACGCAAGACAACGATAATTGAACTTGATGCTTCCACCTCTACTCGTTTTTTTCATTTCGTGATATGTCTATCAAATTTCACTAAGTAACAAAGTGGAAAAGACATTTTCGATTCTGTGCCCTACTGTTTGTTTTTCTCACTACTATTTTGAAAAAGCATAAATTCTGATAATTTTTGTCTTCAAATGCAAATCCTTACGCCCTATATTCTCCCATGATAGCCACTCGGGCTCAATCTTCGAGGAGGAGATCAAGAGATAGTCTGTGTTCTAGCTAACACATTACATCAATTATATCAAGCAAGTAGAATAACCAACTTATTTGGTTAAAAATAACTATTTCTATTGAGAATAGTCATATAACTAAATATAACAAGGCACTTACGTAAGAGAGAAAGAGGAGCGGACCTGTCTCTTATCAGGGTAAGGACGTGAAGACTGCTGCACTAAAAATACTGTTGTCACAAAAATGACGTAAAATCTTTCCTAGTGTCTAATTGAGAAATTTGTAAGTTAATTGACTTGGAAAAATAGCGTAAAGTTTTCCTATAAAAATAAAGGGGCAGCTTGCGAACGAAAGAGCACGTACGATAAACTAATTTACGTCCATTAATCAAGACTGTCACGTGTACGAGTGTTTTTATTGAATGAACGCTTATTTGCAGATATTAAGATTTCTATCATTGATATCAAATCTCATAAATAAATTTTAATTTAAAGCTTTTGTAATTTTTTTTTCACTATAAAAGTCAAAAATTCATTTCATAAATTCAAACGAAAACCATTTATTCTTATACATTGTCATTAACGAATCAATGCTTGTTTTTTTTTCATGAAAATAATAACATCTGTAATGAGTGTAATACATCGGAAGATAAAGTCATTCAAATTAGCTTAACCCCACCAAGGAGCTTTTTTGGGCACGATATTTCCGTTTCTGCAGGTATGGGTTCGCAAGTTGTAGTTTTGTTTTCCACAGCAAAATGTGCCATTTTTTGAGTCAAGGATATTACCAGCGCAGCAGACGTGTGTCAGTTGGTAATTTTTTTTCCCACAGCAGGACCAACCATAATTTATGTCATTGAGATTATTTTCACAACAAACGCTATCAAAAAAATTATATGCACGAGTTCCACAGCATCGATGGAGAAATGAAAACCCGGATGGACGAGTTACAACTTTTCTATTACAGCACATATGTGTGTTATGATTATAAGTTGATGGTCCACAACATCGAGAGTTGGCAGAACGGACTGAAATTACTTCATCACAGCAAATGTGAGTTTTATCGTTGTAATTAAGGCGCCCACAACAAGAAGAGTCTTTAGTACGGCTCAAAATTACTCCATCACAGCAAATATGGGTATTTTTGTTGTAAGTCAAACGTCCACAACAAGAAAAAGCGGCTGTTTGATTTGCCGTCAGGCTATAAATGTTTTCATCACAACAAACTTGAGTTTCGTACTCGTAGACACGACTTCCACAGCAACGCGTGCTAGTCTGATTAGGATGAAGCATTCTGTTACAGCAAACATCTGTAGTTGAATTATAGTTACGATTTCCACAGCAAGAAAGCCCATACTTCCTGTCATTAATGCTTCCAGCGCAGCAAACACTGATGCTAGAGTCATAGTTACGATTTCCACAGCAGGCAGTTCCATCTTCCTTACAATTAATGTTACTATCACAGCAGATTTGGGTACTGGAGTCATATGATCTTCCTCCACATAAAGACCGATGATTTCTTACTTTTCCCACTTCTGTCAATTCAGCTTTGGTACTTACTGAGAACAAAAAATACATAAAAAAAATTCAAAACCGACTGAACCTTGTTTCAGTTAGAAAAAACAAAATAAATTTCTTGTAATGTTAAAGGTTTTCTCACACTTTGAATACTAGTATCTGCTATAAAGTCTCCAAATTTTAGCCATTTTAATTTAAAACAGTCCAACCTTCTCATATTTCTATATGCCCACAATCCATAAAGTCGGGAGCACTCCTTCTCCTAACCTCGACTTAATTTTTCTTTTTTAAAAGTGCATTACAACGTCAGCTATTTTGAAGCATTTATTTTTCATGTCTTGCCAATGGGAATTGGAAATGTGTAGTGCGTAAAAAACGCTTGGTCAAAAGATTTTCTAGAATAAGTTTCCAGCAGAAAATGTAAATAAGGTTTCCGACAAAAAAGACGAATTTATCTCTGTCCGTGTGGAAAGAATTAGCAAATCTTCACATAAGGAATGAGGAATAGTGTGATTGATGACGAAAAGTTTAATTTGAATTTTTAGCTCATTCTAAAATCAATCTCATTGATTGTTCCTGTCGCAAAAATTAGTGTGCTTAATTTCGAAAGAATAACAAAAGATGATCAATCACAACGGTCTATAGATTCGAAGACTTGTGAAGCTGCCAAATTGTTTACAAACTTACAAATTCCTCTGAGAAGAAATAACGTAACATCAAAACTTTATCAACGAATTAACAGTCTTCGCAAAACTATTTGCATTAACTTCATTTTGGATAATATTTGTTGGGAACACTATAGAAGCTAAGTTGATGGCTCGTCCCAGTTCTCTACATTATTACATTATATATTATGCTCCTTGACTGGTAAAATGATTTGTGCCACGAGCTTTGAAATAGTTTTTAAAATTTGAAAAGGTTAATGACGAGTAATGACTCTTTTCAATGTTAGTTTTTTTCGGTTTTTCTTGAACCAAACCAAAGGGCCACAACTTGTATTTATAAGAGGAATGGAGATATTCCTATTATAGATACGGTTAATTCTAAATGGTTGAAACGTACACATACGTATTCATATAATAAGCTATAGCTACAATGTAGCTAACTCTAGGTAGAGCATCCATCTGTTCTCATGATAGGGCCACTTAGCCTAAACCTTGGCAACTTGCACAGTTTTGCTGAAATCGTTGTTGTTTTTAACCGCCGCTGATTGACTGATTAACTGTTTTCATACATATATAGCTACTCTCTTCTGTTTTAGCCATTCACTCTACTTCTGTGTTAAACTATAGACGATTTTCTTCACATACTAGTTTTGTTATTGTGAATGGCTAAAACAGAACAGTTGGTAATATCGCTCTCACGTGAAACTTGAAAATGATACTCACTGTTTTTCACATGACAATTTACATATCTCGGTTTACATTGCCGTCCAGTTTACGTTAAAAGAAATACTTAATAATGTACCCTCTAGTGGAATATTTACGCAAATATTTTGGTCGGACTTACGTGTAAAACATGCAGTTGTGCTTTTCTATGATCAAGCCATTACGTACATCGTTCAATTGGATTTTTACGCAAGTTTCACTTTCGAAATGTGGTAATGACAGTGATGAGTTTCGCCCGAGACATGTAGGATTGAACAACTTAGTACTACAGAATACATTTATGAACAAAACTTACCAAATGCAATAGCATAGACTGAGCACATCAACACCAGTTTCATCTTAAGTTCATGCATGATTTTTATTGCTTCTCAAGCTCAAGTCGATGCAATCACTCACCGCAGTGTTCCTGTAAACGTCAATGGCTGTATATGCATGACTATTTATACCATGAACGGAGGAAATGACGTTAAATTCAACACCACTTTCATACCATTATCATGTTTCAAAAAGAATACGTACAAAACTAGATAGTACATGAGAGGAATATAGGAGACAGCTTAAACTGCTTTGGCAAATGAGAAGTCAACGTTTCATTATTTACAATTAAACATAGGGAGCAAAACGTTAATTTTCACACTACACGGTTTAAACCTGTAGGCTAACATACACAAATTAACGCAGAACGTAAAAGTTATTCCATGAATACAAACTTGGTCTGGTCTGGTCTGGTCTGCCAAACGTAAGCATCGCTGTAGTGGAAGTGCGCAAATAGCAATGTTTGAGGGACTATACTTGTATAAGTATGAGAGGTATCTTATCTGAAGAAATATTGGTATTAAAAACGCAGTGTGACCACTATCTTCCCAATTTATTATCAAAAATGCTTTGATCCGCGCAGAATATCCTCCCCCTCCCCATTGCAAATGTTGCGAATATTTAATCAGGTGGGGCTGTCTAAGCTCTCCAGAGCGGATCTGGTAATAAAAATTAGCAAGTCTGGTCACACTGGATGGATGACAAAACAAACATTGATTCCATAGCAAATGATTCATAAATCTACGAGGAGTCTTAAAACCATGAAGATATTTCAGACTTTCAAAGAGCCACGCCAAATAACCACACACATTTTTTAAAACACGGTGAGTATTAGCATTCTTGAGTGTAAGCCTGGTTGCATGAAGAAACCGCTAGTTATTGTGTCATTGAAATAAACTCTCACTCGATGGTAATTTTCAAAGCTTTTGTAATTTCACTACTAAAATATAACATTTCTTTGTAAACTTGAAGCAAACGTTTTTATTGAAAAAGTGTTTCATGATCGAAGAGATCGATGCTTTTGTCAGTTTTATGAAAATGGCAATGGCCAACTAAAACGAAAGTCGTAGAAATTAGCTTAACCACTCCAAAAATCTCGGGGGGTCACGACACCATTCTTACACTCATGGGTATGAATGTCGAAGTTTATCTTTCCACAACAAGACAAGCCATTATTTATATCAAGTATATTACCAGCGCAGCAGACGTGCTTGCTGAAATGGTAATTCTTTTTTCCACAGCATAAAATCGGACCATTTCTGTCATTTACACTTTTTCCGCAACAAGAACTCAGGAAGAAATTGTATGCACGAGTTCCACAGCATTGATGGTGATACGGCGATCCGCTAGGGCGAGTTGCTATTTTTCCATCACAGCACATATGGGTGACATGGTTAAAGGTGGATGATCCACAACAACGAGAGTCAACAGAACGGATTAAAATATTTCCATCACAGCACATATGGGTTTTATCGTTGTATGTTGAACGCCCGCAACAAGAGGCGCCGGCTGTTTCGTTTGCTGTCAGACCATAAATGTTTCCATCACAACAAACTTCATCTTGGTAATCATACACGCGAGTTCCACAGCAACGCATTTCAGTCTTGTTAGGATGCAGGATACCGTTACAACAAACATGTGTGATTGAGTTATAGTTGCGATTTCCACAGCAATAAAGCCCATGCTTTCTGTCATTAATGCTTCCAGCGCAGCAAACACTGGTGCTAAAATTGTAATTACGATTTCCGCAGCAGGCAGTCCCATCTTCTCTGCAATTGATGTTCCCATCACAGCAAACTTGGCTACTGGAGTCGTATAGCTCTCCTCCACATAAAGACCGACGATTTCTCAATTTTCCCAAAGGCCCAGGAAGCAATTGAGCTTTGGCGCTTGCTAAGAAAAAATGTTCGCAAATAAAAATTCCAAGCAAAATGTTAGACAAAGCAGTTGTAAACTTGAATTCTATTAGTTCATGAAATCATTTAAAACAATATGTTAGTAGTAATATTTAGTCCCGGGCACCTGTTTCTTCTGCAGAACATCCCACCATAAAATATATCTTACTCGATTGCATTCAACTTGGCAATCAAATTACATACTAAATGTGTCATCGCCCCAAAATTTTAGCACTCACACGTCTGCTCATAACTTCACTGAAAGTAACACATACACAACATTCACGTACACCATTATCATCTAATCTAATCTAATCTAATCCAATCTAATCTAATCTAACCTATTGCGTAGAGTAGAATTTTTTAATTTTTCTAAAAGCTAATGAAAATAACAACTAATCACAGGAGTCTACGACGGTAATTTGATAGTTATTTCTGAAATAAAGATTTTTTATATCTTGATTGTGAGAAAGTGTTGCATTAGTCACAAGATTTCCTTGGATATGTTGATTGACATGTTAATATTTTAAACACATTCTGACACATTGCCAAGTAAAATCGTACATGGCCTGCCATACGAAGAAATGGGTTGATTTGAAAAGTCCAATCTAGGATCATAATTCTTTAACTCCTTTTATAATAGAAATAATCAATTAATAAATTTAATTCTTAATATGAGACTAATTCTGATATTTTAGTGGTTGTGGTCTACGAGATGTCATATTTAGGGGCTGATTAGATGAGCCCGGGTAGCCGAGATTCAGCCGAGCGTTAAATGATTTTGGCAAATGAAACGATTCAATACTTATGATCAGATAAATTTTCTTGAGCAATTTTACATTATTCTGGTTTAATAATTATACGCCAAACATTTAAAATAAAAACCAATTCGGCCTAATTTGAGAATTACAACGGGAATGACTTGTGGCGTTTAACAAACATTTTAAGCTTGAAGTTTTTCCCCCTTTTAATGCCTCGAAATCATTTCGCGCTTCATTGAATTTCAGTAAGCCTAAATCGTGTAAACAGCCCCTTAGAAGGTACAGAGCTAGCACCCATTAAAATGTCTAAACGTGCGTAAGTGCATGTCAAAGACATTAGGTACTGCATCATCTGCCAATTCAGAAGATTGGATTGTGTCCAGAATGGTAAACTTAAACTAAGCCTTGACTCATACGTTGTATAAATATGATTTATTACTGTTGATAAAGACGACTGACGATTGGGTCATTTCTCGTTATTCCATAATATTTTTCTCTTACTATGAATCGTCAATCATTATTTTATAGTTGAAAACTCAACGATTTTCTTTTTGTCTAATGAGACGCTAATCCGCATTTAGCGAAATCGTTTCATGTTGCTACAACTACAAACCGACAATCATACCACCCATACTATGATTTAGCAACGGTTTAGTTGCTTTTCAATTTCGTTGGGAAAAATACTTGATAATCAATCTTCATCCAGAAAATTTACGTTTTTTTATCATCTGAATAAAGAGAAAAACATACAACTCCATCGAGTTTTCTTCGATCAAGCAAAAAACCTCTAGCAATCGGATTTTCGGTCTGTTCTACTTTATGAAGAACTTGTGATGACAGACAGCAACAGTTTATAAAGCAAAAATGTAAGTCTTCGAATCAGATAGTTGCACAAATTTTTGAGCCCCTAAAAGGAATGTCGACATGCAATTGATAAGTTCGTCTTTGAACACATGGTTGAACATTACAAACCTGCATTTCGGTTTCAAATGAGTTGGCGTCAATCAACCGTTATTTTGGAGGAGGGGCATATTAATATAATTTTACTTTCAAAAGAAATCAATCTGGCATAGCACAAAATATGAATATAGCCCCTTTGTTTAACATTCCATTGACAACCGTGTTCAAATGATAGTGAAGTGGAAAAGTTGGCCCCAGACGTACGATATGTAAACTAATGAACAACCTAAGCAAAAATACAAGAAGTACAGCATACATACATAAACAAATCTTACCGAATGCAGTGACAAGGACGGCGCACATAAGGATCAGTTTCATCTTCAGTGAATGATATTGCTATCTATTGTCTCTTGAGCTCACGCCGAATCCAACGCTCTTGGTCTGCAGTTTTGCAGCGAATGTCAACGACCTGTACAGGCAAAGTTTTTGAGCAATTATAGCCGGATATAACGTCAAATTCAATATCAGTTACATACAACAGTCTTCTTTTAAAATTCCTACCAATTAACCAGGGAGGGCACGCATGGATTACAAGGACATATCGCACTCGTACACAAGCAGAACCGTCAATGCTTCATGCTTCATAATGTACAAATTACACGATGAACAATGCTAATGAAAATTTGCATTCTACTTGCGCCTACAGGTTGTTTATTGATAAAGACTAATGAACGCAGAACTTGCGGCTAAACGCATTTTTTTAATTTGCAAACTTTGAGGCTAAACGCATTTTTTTAATTTGCAAACTTTGAGGCTAAACGCATTTATAGTTTGCTTATGACGTAAATACAGCACGCATCTTTTTATATCAACTGCGCAACTACCGACGTGCTTTCGACTATCTTTGAAGATATGAAGATATGCAGGTATTAGTAAAATGTTTGCTTGCTCAGTATTGCCCTGCGATTTTTATAAATGTTGGGATGTATACCAGTATAGTTGTTGGTTTGGCATGCGTAGTCTTGTTCAGGGGCGGATCCAACTTCGTATATGAACTTAGGCACAATGTCGCACCGTTAGCGGGACTTTTCTAGGGGGGTCCAGGAGCATGTTCCCCCCGGTAAAATTTTAAAATTGGATTGCAGAAAACGCTATTTCCTGCGTTTTTGCAGTTGATTTTCTAAAATATTTATAACTGGAATGAGCTACAATTCTTGCTCATAAATCATCGATTTTTGACTGTTTCGCTCAATATCAGAGCTCATCAGCATGCCTAGGAAACTCGCAGAAAAATATGCTTTGAGGGCTTCTGACATGGACGGCCTGGTTCATTACAAACTTAGCCTAAACAAATTTTTTTACGCTTCATCAACTTTTATAAGGAATTTCATTTTATAATGGTCTAGTCATACCTATATGCTGATTATTATGCAAACGATTTTATGTCAACTTATAAAATGAAGTTTTTAACAAAAAAAGCAAAAAATGTTTACAGATGTCGATCGTCCAGGTAAGTAAAGTCCTGAGAACGATTGTTTGTGTTTATATTGACTGAGGTTAGCAGCAGTCATCTTTACAGTCAAGAGTTTAAAAAGGCATCAAAAACTTTCACTCCTTACTAGAAAGCTAGTTCAATTTTTCTTTTGTCTTTTGCAAAAAGATCTATAATCTTTTCTATATCTGGATTAATGTCCTGATGAATATACAATAAAGCAAGACCATTTAACCTGTCAGCAGCCATAGTACTTCTTGTATAGTTCTTTAATCTTCGCAAAGCAGAGAACAATCTCTCACACTCACAAGAAGTGACTGGAATAGTACTTAAGATCTTTAACAATACTTTTATGCTCTCAAAACCTGGGAAATTTACCTGTGAGATATACTATATGGATGAGCCTTAGTTGTCATGGTTGTCTTAGTAGGACCAGAAGGTGTAAACCTCAACTTTGTTTGTATACTGGGCTTTTTAGCTTGTGACAAGTGACTACTTCCCTTTCTTTTAGTTCCCTTCCCACCAAGTATCAAAGGCACATAATGATTTTGTTTGAATGCAGTTGCTTGAGGAGCTAAACCTTCAAAGCAAAACAAAACTCGCAAATAATTACTAGTGGAAGCACAAGCCCTAGATAGAATTCGAGGTTCAATTCTTTGGTTAAATAATAAATTCCCTTTACAAGCACAAGAGTATATGTCAGGATAATAAGAAAAAATGCTACAGGATGTAACTGAAGAGAGTGCCAACGAACAAACAAACACAGTCCATGACATATCTTTTGCATTTAACACAGCTTCTGCCCTGACCAGTTTAGCAACAGAGCAACCACTTCCAGCACTATCAATAGCTTCAGAAGAGACTGACATGGCCACCATGCTTGAGATAGAATCAAAGGATTTGTTATGCTGAGTTTCAAAAAGATTTGAAAAACATGGATGTTTTGCATAATAATCAGCAAATAAAAATAATTCTATAGAGGTCATCAGCTTCAAAATAGTCACCACAAAGTTGTCACCAACAAGCAGAATTGACAATGAACTATAGAGGCAGTTGCCATTTGTAGCAGATCTGAAATAATGTTATGTAAATTTCAAATATCATGCTTCAGTTTATTTTTGTATATCTTATCTTAAGTACACTATTGAACACATCAAGAAATAAATCAATAGAAACGTTTTAAGTATTATCGAAATTCGAAAATTTGTTTTGTCTTGAATCACATAAATAAACCACAAATGACAAATCCATCGGGCATCACATCAAGTCAATTTATATTTGCTTATATAGTCTTGTGTAAGCATGCATGCATAACATGTCATAAGTTTTCTAACCTTAAGGCAGCCAATTTGTGTTCTTTGTCTTGGCACTCTGCGGTATGTAAAATTCGACATTGATATTTCGGAAAATATCAACACCGAGATGATCCAACAAATTATCGTTGGTAACAATGCTGTTGACTTTCAGGCAATCCAACATCTCTCCGTAGAGTTGAGCCATAAAAGTCTCATCTTTCCTCGTAAAGGCATCTTCAACTCGATCAGTGAAAGATGCCATGCTTCTCATTAATATTGTTGGTTTTGAAGCTCAAAGATATGACCTCGGCTATCAGACGAATCAGCTATTACATCAACAGGGACAGTCGGGGACAGTCGGGGACAGTCTTAATCCGATGCTTAATCCAAGTCTTGGAAACAATAACATTGCTCAGTGAATGCACGTTGTTGCACAAATTTCTCATAATACTGTCCCTAGCCCGGACAATAGTTTATTTTTCTAATGCTTTCGTTGTGAGGACACAAAAAGTTTAATTAATTTTAGGATAAAGAATTCATGATCATTATCCACACATCGAAACAAACTACACCCTACCGAGACGAGATTCGAACCTGTAAACGACGCATAGAAAAAACCTCTAGGTCCTTTCGACCAAACGAGCTTCATTTCGCACCACTAAAATTGTTAGTTATTTTAACAAAGAGCATTTAAAATTTAATTTATTTTTTCACTTATGTGCAGAATTTAACTACGTCGCGTGCTTAATGTGACATAGTTTCGATCCGCCCCTGGTCTTGTTGTCTTAGCGCTTCCATATTTCAAATATTGGGCTGGATAGGAAAAAACGTTGGAAAACTTTGTCATGTCAACTTTTGGTACTTGTCAAAATTGGAGCATTAGTGTGTGAGTTTTGTTGAAATTGCTATATAATGGTCGTGGTAAGCGAGACATCAATAGGTGGAGTGCAGACAGTTGTTTATATTGCCTAGAAAAGCGCAATTGCCATGGTGTATTTTCAAAGAAGAACCCAAAGATTCCATTAAACAAAACACTCCCCCCCTAGTTCTTCGGTAAAATATAATGAAATTTCAACGTAGTGATCACCTAGGAAATTTGATTCACCTTATTCTCTTTTGAAAGCCATAAAATTTACACATGATCCTAGGCAACCCAGAAAATAACCCTCTGGCTTGCACAGACTTTTCGACATTTTTCATAAATATTAGCACAGTAAATCCACACAGGCTCCTTGTTTCACGACTTTCGGTTTTAAAAGGGCGGAGAAATTATTCAAAAAGGAGATTCAAGACTTATTTTTCACACATTGCAAGGAGGTTGGAGAATAACATTTTATTTTTCATTATTTAATGTTTTTAAATATACTTCTCGCTGAGAGCGGAAATACAACATGGATTTGTGGTGGTGTAATTTTAAAGATTATTCCGCGATTAACCAAATTTTAAGTGCCTTCTCGTTCTGCCGGCTTAAAATATCCAAAGTCCTAGTACCCTGTTTTATTCAACTTATGCTGTACATGTTGTCCATTTGTGTAACTGCCAATCACAACATGCTTTGTTCATGTGGAGTAAGCATTGAACTAAAATACATGGAACGCTAACTGTAATAGAAAAGACGAATAATTTTTTAAAGCCAAATTTTACAACCAGATACGCGTGGATAGTAAATCAATTATTACTCCGCGAGAGAATCTCGAAACACCAAATACGCGTGTCAGGGTGTAATCTCACGTGCCTGGGTGTAAGATTTGGCTTCAATTAATTGCTTTAGTTGGCGTTCCATGTAATTTAGTTCAAAGGGTGTAAGACTATATCACTGTCTTGGAAACACCTATTGAAAAAACACTTATTATTGTAATTTTGCTCATTATTGTGCCATTGAAATCAACTCTCACTCGTTAGTAATTTTCAAAGCTTTTGTAATTTCACTACTAAAATATAACATTTCTTTGTAAACTTGAAGCAAAAGTTTTTATAGAAAAAGTGCTTCATGATGGGAGAAATCGATGCTTTTGTCAGTTTTATGAAAATGGCAATGGCCAACTAAAACGAACGTTGTAGAAATTAGCTTAACTACTCCAAAAATCTCGGGGGGTCACGACACCATTCTTACACTCATGGGTGTGAATGTCGAAGTTTATCTTTCCACAACAAGACAAGCCATTATTTATATCAAAAATATTTCCAGCGCAGCAGACGTGTTTGCTGAAATGGTAATTCTTTTTTCCACAGCATAAAATCGGACCATTTCTGTCATTTACACTTTTTCCGCAACAAGAACTCAGGAAGAAATTGTATGCACGAGTTCCACAGCATTGATGGTGATACGGCGATCCGCTAGGACGAGTTGCTATTTTTCCATCACAGCACATATGGGTGACATGGTTAAAGGTGGATGATCCACAACAACGAGAGTTAACGGAACGGATTAAAATATTTCCATCACAGCACATATGGGTTTTATCGTTGTATGTTGAACGCCCGCAACAAGAGGCGCCCGCTGTTTCGTTTGCTGTCAGACCATAAATGTTTCCATTACAACAAACTTCATCTTGGTAATCATACACGCGAGTTCCACAGCAACGCATTTCAGTCTTGTTAGGACG